AAAAAAAAAAAAAAAAAAAAAAAAGACTAATCTCTCTTGTAAAATGTGGTAGCCTATATCAAACTGACTTCCTCAAGGGTGAAGCCTAAAAGCTCATGCATGTAACCTCTGGCTTAATCCAGAGACTGCCAGATAAAGACCAAGTTCCTTTTAAGAAATTACTAATTATAAGCAAATAGCAGACATCTCTGTAAGCACCAGAACAGGGCAACTTCTGAAAAGACACTTCCAGGAAGTAGAAATCATTGCTCAGTTTCTCAGGGTCTACTTACATTGGGTGTAGAGGAAAAGGCAGGACTTTTGTCACCCTGTCTAGTTAGAGAATGACCTCACAAATGTTGGGGCATCAGGATAGCATTCACTGTGCATATGGGCTCTCTAAGGGTGCAACCCTGTATTGGAGGTTATAGCCTTAGGTTGATCTTGACACGGAAGTACAGGTAAATCTCGAGTGTCTAGATCCCAAGGCAGTGTCTGGCATGACACCACTTCTATTTTGTCCCCAGTCTGTGACCATGAATCTCCATGGGCCAGCGGACACTGTTGGACCTTCCTGATGGTCTCAGCCTACCCTGCAAGGCCATCATGAGTAACAGGGGAGCCGACACCCACAGAGGGGCCTTGCTGGCTGGAAAGCAGCGGCTCTCAAAGTGTTGTTGTGAACCAACAGCAGGAACAGCAACACCTGTAAAAAATGCAAATTATCTACTTCCTCCCCAGACTTATGGCTAAGTCAGAAATTCTGGATGTTGGGTCCAGCACTGTGTTTGCTCCAGTCTGCTGGAGGATTTGAGGCCTTCTACAATGTGAGCACCACTGCCGTCCAGTTATTTATTTCTCCCTGGGAGCATCCTGGCTCTGCTTCCTCACCTTGGAGTGCAGGACTCTTCCCTCTGGCTTCCGGTTATGTGGATCAACATTCCTGGTTATCTACCCCTGAGTGTCCTATGACCTCAGACACCCCTTAGTCCTTGGAAGATCACACGGTAGTTCACCTGAGAGAGGGTTCGTTAATGCTATGTGCTCCACCTCTCCTTCTCTCCTATTGACCCCTCTGTCCACTCTTGGCTTTATAGTCTCAACTCAGAGCTTTAGTCACCTATTACACCCCAGTCACACATCTTCCAGCCCATGGAAGACAAAGAACATGGACTTAGCTTCTGTCAGAGCTGATTCAGTACCAGCTTCTCTATCCTCCAGCATTACTTTATTCACCTATTTGTTGATCTCGGTCTATACTGTACAACAAACACTGGATGACATGTTAGAGTAACACGATAGAGAGCATGGCAATTTTCTTAACCAGCTACTTTTGAGGTTTCCCCTCCGTGTGGAAAAAATGAAGTCATATAAAATGTATATGCTGGCCGGGTATGGTAGCACATGCCTGTAATCCCAGCACTCGGGAAGCTGAGACAGCAGGATGGCAAGTTGAAACCCAGCTTCAGTAACTTAGCACCTTGGCAGGAACTAATCTTAAAACAAAAAATGAAAAAGGGGTAGGGAGACTGGGGAGGTAGCTCAGTGTGAAGGCTTTGGGTTCAAGCCCTAGCACCAAACAAACAAACGTACCATGGGCTTGGCTCACTGGACAAATATTTGTTTTTTTTTTTACATCGTTTTCTCTCCTTGACTTTTCATGCTTGGACTGCTAGAGTCAGGCACTGGCCACATCACTTTGCAGCTCAGAAACTTTCAAGGCAGTCTCATTACTTATCCAACCAAGGACTCACTCCTTAGCCCTGGGTTGGTAGTTCTCGCTTGTGTTTCAGACACACCCTAGAAGCTCACTGATCTCCAAAGGTGTTCTCAACATGTGCCTCCTCCCGCAGGAGGGCACCCCCCTCATCTTGCTTGTGAAAACCTTCACAAAGTATTCCAGATGTCAGTTGCTTTAAGAAGCCATTCTTGATCTCCTTAATTGAACTTGAATATGGCTTTTTTCATATTCGTCTCTAAGCTTTTCATGGCTTTGGGACATATACTTATCCCAGAGTCTCTGCAGGACCTGACAGAAGTTAAGGGCTATATACCAACTTTGGGCAGCAAACATGCTAGGAGGTTGTAGTATTTAAATAAGGAAAGAACAATGATAGGGAAATATACAAACCCCTGTGGTATAAAAACATCAAATAAATCTTCAGAGGAGGAAGGAAGGTTTCTAGTGATGAAGACACTAAAGATGGGAGATTTTTGCTAGCTGAGGAGCACTGGGGTCCATTCTGTCATTAGTATTGGTTAAGCTACTTTATGTGTTCAGACCCAAGTTGGGATTTGAGCTTTGCATTTTCCAAGGTGGAACCAAAACAAATGTCTACAGGTGTGAATAAGATAACTGGAGTGAATGAGGTAGGCAAGGTGTGGAAACCCTACAGAACCAAGAACGTGTGCCCTCACCACTAAAGGGGCTGAGCTCCTCCATTCCAGTCTAGCATCTCAGGGTAGAGACACATGCCGCATGTTGTCAGGCTTTGTAGTTGTGTAAGAGGAGCCAGAACTTCTGGTTTTTAGCTAAAATCTGCTGATTTTTAAATGCTGGCACTTTGTTCATCCTTTTGAAAAATTATTGATCAGCTCAACTAGCCAGTGTGATTGGCTAGTGAGTTCTCTCTCTGTCTCGGTTATCCCGAGAGCCTACCTAGACCAGGGCTTGGTGATACCTGGTGTGTAGTCCCTCTGAGCACCTGCATCATCATTGTTCCACTCCCATTGCAATGAGGCGTGACATAGGGATTGATGGGCTTCCTCACTGAACCTGAAGGATACTGTGAGAACTTGAGAAAGCACAGCATTTCAAAGCCAAGTGAGTGAGTGGTCCAGTTCTCCTTAGCACTTGTGAGAGTGATTTATTCATTTCTTGATTGTGGCAAATCATAGAATGGTTTTGGTGATCCTGGTAGAGAGATGTAAAACAGGTGTACTTAATTTTATTGATATGAATTTTAAGAAGATTCTGTTAGGTTAATGACTTAGCAAGCAACACTGTATTAAGAGGTGATATTTTTACTAAACTTAAAAGTAGAGCTACTGCTAAGATAAAATTACCCCAATTTTCACTTTTAGTTGGGCTTTGTTTTTAAACCAATATTTTGGAAGAATTAAAATGTGCTCTAAACCATACACCACTATCACCAGAAGTGTGTGTGTGCCTGTGTGCATGTGGGTGTGCAAGCACACACACACACACACACACACACACACACACACATGCATACATTCCTGACTCTGGATTGCACATGAAGACATGGTGGGGTCTGTTTGCCCGAGACTGGTTTTTCCTCTTTATTACTTTGATTGAGTTTCCTGGAGATCAAGGAAATACTCAATGCCTTGCGTATCTTAAGTAATAGGAATAGTACAATTTTCACATCGATGGGTGTAAATATGAATTAATGCAATCTTTGTAAAGGAGAAGGGAAATTTTTGTTTAAAATGATACATAAGAATGTTTATCCTTATGAGAATTTTAGACTATGTTTATTGAAATATCAATCAGAAGCCATGTAAGGCTTATGAAAATAAAAGTGTTGCTTTAAATTCTGGTCTGTTTATTTTTCTCAGCTACATTACTTCTCTACCAAGAATGCTACTGAAAAAAAAAAAGGTGAAAGTAGGCTAAGAAGCACTGTGGAAATTAATAAATGCCCAAAATGCTCTTCTTAATAGGAGATATTCTCTATGTTTCCAGAATATTCACAAGCAAATGAACCTAATATTCTATAAAATGCTTTCATGTAGTATTTAACTTCTGGAGGATTTCTACACGTAAATATGTTCTGACTATTTCAGTGAAATTGTCTACTTATGTAATGGTTTTGAACTAGTTAAATCTTGCATTTTAAAAAAATGCAATTTATTTTAGAGGGAAGAAAAAACAGTTCTAAGCCACATTTTACTTCTCTCTGGTTTTGCAAGACTTTTCAGCTTTTTAAGAAAAGAGAATTAGCATAAAGTATTTCCTGGGCATCTCTGAATGCTGAAAACTGAGGAAAATTGAAATAATGGCCTCTGCATTTGGTTTCTCTCCTCCATAGCTGAAAACGCTTCCATATGTTTGCTGTCTTAACCTTCTCATTCCCCCACTCAATCCCTTTTTGTTTTCTGGGATGGGTGATGTTGTTTTCCTGATTCCCTGTCTGGATTGTTACAGTTTTTGAGAACAGTGTACCAGGAATCGCCCTCTGATGGAAGCAGAGTATATTCTCCTAACTGGGATGTAGGCAGCTATGGTGACTACATTACCCAGAATTTCAGGCCCTCAAATTATTTACTTGGGCACAGAGTGCATTTTGTCATTTGCCTCCTGAGTTTCAAACTCCTCTTTAGCCTTCCAGAGTCAAGGCAAAAAACCAGTTCTTTGGCTGTAAGCAGCAACAAATGCAGTTCCATGCAGGAGGGAGGAGACCGTCCTAGACCCTCTCAGGACCAGACCACTGCGGGGCCGCTAATTACCATTGACAATGATGTGACTGCTTTTTCTTCAGGCTTAGAAATGGGCATGCCAATTGAGCTGCAGCTCAGACTATCTCAGGGAGGGTGAGTTGTTTGTGTCTGAACACCTGGGTCAAATTAGAGCTTGTTAAAGGGCATCTGAGAACCACATTGAATGGACTCACCTCATACCGGGGATGATTTAATGCTGAGACCCAATTAAGTCTCTAGTTCATCCAGAATCAGGACACGTATTAGAATTTAAACCCCTGCCACTCACCATGTGAAGTACCTTGTGACAGCAACGACCATCTCTAAAATCGATGCACTCTAGACTCGGATTTAATTCCTGCATCCTAAAACAAACTGTGTAAATATGATCCTGTAGCATTTCCTGAACTTAATACTTACTAACTTTTCTACTTGATTGATTGTCTTCTCTCCTTCATATTCAGCTGTGCTCTTAAGTTTGTTGTTCTCTCTTTCTCTATTTATTTTGTTTTATTTAAAAAATTTTTTTTCTGGTACTGGGAATCGAACTCACGACCTCACCCTTGCCAGGCAGGCGCTGTGCCACTGAGCTAAATCCCCAGTCCCATCTCTTTCTCTATTTAAAAGTGTTCTCGGGAATGATCTGGGATCAGTCATTTCTAAGAATTAGAGCATGCGCATTCCTCCTTCCGGATGCGCGTATTTGCCTATAGTAACAAGTTAAGCATGCTGAAGCAAACTTTACTGCTAAGTTTCTGCTCAGGTAGGCCTGGAGTGAACCTAGATGTGTCCTAAACATTTTAGTCCATTCCCCATCTATTCTCATTTGGGGACCTGATACCATCCTTACCTGGAATAGCCTTGAATGGCTAGCCACTAGCGTGATGGCTCTTCTGCTATATCTAACTAAACATGTAGAATTTCTCTGCTACTTTTCACCTCCTTCCATAGGAATCCTCTCCCCTATAATATACAACTTTAGTAATTTATGTCCCCAAATGCCCAGCACAAAACAATGCTAAGAAATCTTGAAGGTCGAGGAGTTAAGATTCACAAATCTTGTTTCCTGCCTTGATAAAATGTGGGTTGCCATGGTGATAGGAAGAGAGGGGAATTAGGAAAAGATGAGGATATATTATAAAACTTTTGAGAATGCTTCTTCCTCTGAGTCTAGTCTGGACTAAGATATTGCTTAATTCTCACCACATGATGAAAAATGGTCAGTAAACATGGCTGCATTTTCTGTCCCACCATCTCTGCCTTCCCTGTGCTAGCCTGAGTTCTTAAAAGCACCAGACCTGCCAGTGGGCTTATACTTCTATGGTTTGCAGTCTAAGACTTATTTCTCATTGTGAAGTAAAAGACTTGGAATTTCAAGCTTCATCAAGTATGTGGATGATTTGGGTAAGAGAGATCATGCTTGGAGTTGTGTTCTAAATGTGGGTAGGGTAGACCTTGTGCCATCCTCAGGCTCCACAGAAGGAGGGGAGAGGGACAGAGTGGGCATTTTCCTAATGAGCACAGAAATAAATGCTTCTGAAATATTTTTTGTTGATGAAACATTCTTAGTCAAGAGCTACAAGTTTCTTATATAAAGGGAGATAACTGGAATATCCATTACAACCTCCTCAACTTTTTATAGGGATTTAGAGTTTCAAGAAAAGCTTTAAGCACAAACACTTATCTTGACTAGAACTTGACTCCCCTAGCCTTGGACCAAAGTGACATTTGTTCCTTTGACTTAAATCTGCATCTTAAGTCTGATGTGTACAGTTTCACACTACTGTTGGCTCTGTAGGTCCTAGCACCTAGAAGGCAGGAAATGACAGAAAATGGTAAACATAAGAGCAAAAGAGAGTCACCTTGTCCCTAAACTCTGGAGCATGTCTCCACCTCTGCCCCGTGTGTCCTGTTATCTGAACCCCATCTTGGAACCACTGGGGTCTCTACCAGGGAAACCAAGAGAGCTGCAGATTTGCTCACACATTGGAAGAGATCTGGCTCCTTGTCATAGCAACTGTGTGTAAGGAGACGGAGGGGCAGGAGACAAAAATGTGTCTTCTGAGGAAACCTCAAGGGAGTATTTGTGTAGACAGATGAGCTTTGAACTTACCTGTGAGTATTCTGACATCACGTGGAACTCACTATTCTAGCAGTTCCTGTGGCCTTGATCAATATCACTCTTGCTCCCGGTTCCTCTCCCCTTACCTGATCGTTCCTCCATGCCTCTAAACTCCCACTGGCCTCTGGGACACTTTCAAAAGGCTTAATGGTTTTTGAAGGATTCACAGCAGTAACATCAATATGTGAAAGGGGGCTAGTAGAGGCTGCAAAGAATTTGATGGCACAACTCCTTAAAGCATTAAACATTTTCTCCCAAGGTTGATGTTGATGACTGTGACATGACAATGTGTGTTCAGGACATTTAGGATAGAGTGAGTAACTAATACACAGTGAAAGCACATTGGGAAACTCAACTAGAAGTAAAGAGAAACATAGTCTTAAAAGAGTGCATCTAAGTCTCAACTCGTTCTGCTGACATTCACTGCTAATGCTCTGGTCCACGCCACCGTCATCTCTCGCTTAGATGGCTGCAATAACCTCCCAAGTCAACTCCCTTCATCTATAATTGCCCCTTACAGTTTATTCTCAACACTGTAGCCAAAGATCCTCTTAAAATATATTGGATCATGTCTCTGCTGCGCTGAAGTCCTGCAACAATTCCCATTTCACTTAGAGCCAAAGCCAAGCTCTTACAGAGGCCCAGGAAGTCCTCTGCGCTCTGACCTCTGCTTCTCTGTGGCCTCATCACCTGTCCCTTTCTCCATTGCTCATTTTGCTCCTGCACTGCCCAGCTTTGTGCCTTTCGCTGGCTCTTCCCACGGGCTTGAATACTCTTCCCCAAGATATCAATGTTCTTGACTCTGTTTGATGAAGAAGCCCACCCTAACCACTGTTCAGAATTGTCCACTTTCTCCTGGGTAATCTCCTGTCCCCTTTACCCTGCTTTACTTTTTTTTTTTTTTTGTCATACAAGGCACATATCCTTTCAGGAAAATATGTAATTTATTTGTTATATCTACTGTTTATTAATTCCCCTCTCCACTAGAGTGTAAACTCTACATGGATGAAATTTGTGTTTTGTTCACGGATGTGTCTCTGGTACAGTGGGGTAACTCAGTAACCCTTATGGTGAATGAATGAATAAACAAAATGGAAACCCATCTCTGGAGAAGACCTATGTCCGAACAGATCTTAGTGCTGCGAAGAATGTGCTGACAGCTGGCAGCCTGTTGTGGGCCTGCTTTTAGCCTGGAGATCAGGTGGCTGCTTAATGTCCTAGTGACCACAAACAGTGTGTGCCATAGACAACCGCGAGCTCCTTGAATTTTGCCTTCCTGAAGGTGCCATCGGACCACATGGAACCCGGAAGTGGTTGGTCTGACATGGTACATGGGGGGCAGAGTCCTGCACTTCCACTGCCTGTTCTGAAATCTGGTCTAGAATGACATCTCCTTGGCAAAACCTCAGTCCCCACAACCCTGACTAATGTTCCGTTAAGACCTTGAGGTAGCAGAATCATTTCTCCCAGGAGCGTAGAGTGAGCCCTGGCAGATAGACAGGCAATCCATCCCTGCGTGCTGGCAACTGGCCTTGCCTCAACATCTGCTCCCTTCATTTTTCCTGTTACCACACACGTGCCAATTAATTTTTAACTCCATTAGCACACACTTCCTGCCACGCCACCCACCAGCCTTGCTCCCTGCAGACTTACTTTCCTCAGAGGGAACGTTCTGGAAGCATGATCCCCAGTGAACTTTACCGCGGAGTCGACATATCCGTGCAGTCTTATTTCAACCTCAGTCCACCATGCACTCTTTAAATGAAAAGTGCACACAGCACAAGACAGTACACAGCTCGTGGGTAGAAAGTTTGTCTTGAAAACATGAATTATTTACCATAGCAAAGAGCTCCTAATCCTGACTAAAACTCCCTGCCATCATTCCCCGATTTAGTCTGGCCTGGAGAGAGTTTAGGATTGATGGCTACATAGGGAGGGCCTGAAAGCCAGCCAGAGGCTAAAAGTCTAGGGAGGGGAGTTGTTGTCTCCCAAGAACTCAGCCGTTCCTTAGCTACCCTGATAGATGGGGCCTGAGAGAACTGTGCTCCGCCTCTGGAGTTCCTGAGAGTTAGGAAAGGAACAAGATTGAATTAGTGGCAGGCTTTAGTGGCCTGCTGGGAAAGGAGGTCAAGAGCTTCAATGTTGGCTTGGGTTGGGCCTTGCAGTTGGATTGGTCTCACACTCTCCCTGGGTTTTGGCCACTTTAAATCCTCCTGTTAAGCCTTTGCTCACTTTATACTTCTACTCTCAACCCAACTCCATCCTTCTTAAAGGCCAGCCCTACCCCTCTTCCTTTACGCACCCTTCCGAGTCCTCTAGTCCAATCAGTCTAACATCTGGAGATTGTCTTTGGTCCCTTGTCTCTTTCCCACACAGTTTTCCATTCTGCTGCTTTGAGCTATTTCCTACATATTCTTTTTCCAACTACCTTATCAAATCATATTCTGTAGACTACAGTGCTGACACAATCATGTTATAATAATAAGAATCTCAGGAGAGGTGAAAGGAAGTCTCAGTTAACCAGGATAGTATGACATTAAGGAGTTAGGGTATGATTCCAGTGTGAAGAAGTACTTATCCATGATGGAGACAGACTCCAGGGAGTTCATAGGATCATCCACTAAATTAAGAGGAGGGAGCTTTAGAATTTTTATTTACATTTACTTTTAATTTCATCCTCTCAAGTTTATACTGAGTGTATAATTAGACATATATTGTACTAGTCTAGCAGTATACATGCACATTTTTAATAAATTAATATAAATATAATGGAAAGGAAAAGTCAAAATTAGAGATGGGATGTGAGTTCAAAAGGCCCTGAAATGATTATAATAGAAGTCCAAGCAGAAACATAAGCACTTTGATCTGTCTACAGATTCCCAAATGAAAAAGGCAACGACCTGATTTTTAGAGGCAGCAGTCTACTATATCTATCGTAGATTTTAAGACCAAACCATCGCCATTTCTTGCTCTGATGAATAATATGACTTTAAAAAATATTCCCTTTTTAAAGGTTTTCAATATGAGCTTCTAACATAGAGACGAGGAATTTGTTGCTGTTTATTTAGGGGGTGCCCGGAAAATAGTGAGTGCTAAGCTCTGGATCAAGGTAAGCAAACGCGTAGAAACTGGATGGATCCTCTCAAGTCCTGAATTATTGAATGCAGCTTCTGGATGAGAGTGTCAGGGTGAAGGAGAGAGGATTGAGGGCCCATTACAAATCAGGTTCAAGACAGTGATCCAGGGGATGGGGGTTTAGCTCAGCAGCACAGCGCCCACCTGGCAAGTGTGAGGTTGTGATTTCGATTCCTGGTACCGGAAAAAACAAAACAAAACAAAAAAAAAGCCAGTGATTCAGGAGTTGGCACACATTTTATCTAATCTGAATATGCAACTTGTGGATCTGAGTTGTTCAATCCTGTCGTATTCCAAAGAATGTGGCCCCTGGCTGGCTACCTGTAGACAGCTTTGGAATGTCCTCCCTGCTAAGAAAGTCTTTGCAGACCCAGGGCCTCGGGCCAGACTGTATCAGTGTGGCTTTGTGAGGACTGCAGTCAGCCATGTGGGTACTCCATGCCTGTGTGACTGGCCCCCAATTACAATGCCCTGGACAGCAGGCTCAGGTAAGATCCTAGGTTATAATATTCTGTAAATATTGTCACACACTCGTGCTGGGAAAATTAATCTTTAATTCTACTGGGAGGGGAGAAGTGGAACCTTGTGTCTGGTCTCCCCTGGACCCTACACTATGCTCCTTTACCCGTTATTGATTTTAATATGAATCCATTCAGTGCAAGAAGCTATAACCATGAATGAAACAGCTTTTCTAAATCCTGGGTCCTTTTGAATCTGATGGTAGTCTTGGAGAACTATAGCAAGGTATTGTGTGCATCTATGAGGCACATAAAAATGTCTGTTAGCCAGGCATGGTGGCACATTCCTATAACCCCAGCTACTTGGGAGGCTGAGGCAGGAAGATCACAAGTTTGAGGTCAACTTGGTCAATTTAACAAGATCTTGTGCCAAAACAAAATTTAAGAAAGGGCCAAGATATACTGGAGCACTCGCCTAGCACTGGGCAAGGCCTAAGTTCAATTTCCAATAAAACACACATACACACACACACGCACACAATCCATCATACAATCTTATTTCATAGAGTATAAAGATCAGAAAGTTTAAGCAGACTGCCTCAGATTGTATCACATGGGAAAAAGATTTAATATAGAACTGTTTGACATTAAGATGTATACTCAGATTTCCTGAACTCAAACACTGGCTCTGTCCCTTACTAGCTGTGCGACCTTCTCCTTTCCCAAATTACTTAACATTTCTGGGTCTTCAGTTGCTTCCTCCATAATGCAGCGATGCTAAAACAATTGCTTTCTCTGTGTAGCAGAAATGATAAAAACAGCCTCAAACGGCTGTTGCAGTTGCGAGGATTTAGCAAGACAGTGTTCATAAAGGTACTTAGAAAAGCACTTGGCATATGGTAAACATTTAGTAGTTATTAGTTTATGTAATTGCCATGATGAAGGCAGTGCTTAAGACCAAATTTATTCTAAACTTGAAAAATCAGGACACTAGTTACGTATTTGTGTGGTGTGTGTGTGTGTGTTACAATTCGTATCTAGATGTCCTCCCAAAGCCTCATGCATTCATAAGCAGGAGATTGGGGAAGGGAGTGGGTCTTGAGGACGTGATGCTGATAAGTTTATGGCAAAATGTGATGTTGGAAGGTGGACCCTTGTGGGTCACTGGAGGAGTGGCCTAGGAAGGTTTATGTCCCTTCACTCTCTCTTCTTTCTGCCTCCTGTCTATCCTGCTGTGACCAGCTCCCCGCTGCCATGCCTCTGTACCATCCACCCTGCCTTGGACCAGCTGACTATGGACTGAAATATGAGCCAAAATAAACCAGCGGTAAGGAGCATGAGGAAGGCTGTGTGTGGAGTGGTCTGTGTCCCACACATGTATGTGTCAGCTGTTTCCAAATCTCGTTCATTCTGTTTGTTCACATGGTCTGTTACTTCATGTTTTACTGGTCCAGTTTGATTCTGTAGAACTAAAGAAAATGATCTGGCTCTGTACTTCTTTCTCTCTTCTTTGGGCTATAGTTTCCATGACCGTGGCAGCCATCTTTGCTGTAGACCAAAACTCACACTGATAGCAAAATGGAAAGGAAAAAAGAACCTCAGTTCTTGATGATATTCTTCATCTGCTCAAGCCTTGAAATCTTTCTTTTAGATTTCCAGCTATATGAGATGATACATTTTGTTAGGGTTTAAGTCACGTTGAGTTACGATTTTTTTTTTGTTTGTTTGTTTTTTTGTTTTTTTGTTTTTCTCTGGTACCGGGAACAATTTTTTTTTAACTTGCAGCCAAATGCTCCTTAACTGGCAGCTGAAATGCTTTGGTTGATTTTCAACTTTGCTACTCTGTCTTGGAAAGTCTAGAGACAATGAAACTTTCCTTCAATCACTGAGCATTCTTTACAGGCAAGAAAGAGAAAATTATGTCAAACTAACTGAACCAGGAAAGAGGTTATATTGGTTCATGTGATATAGAATCCTGATCTTTGGGTGAGTTGTAGTTTTGCTTTCTGGTTCCATTTCTCTGTTTTCACAGTTCTTTCTCTGTGTAAGCTCAGGATGGCCCCATAAGACACCTACATGGCAGAATCTATCTGT